TCACCGGACTCTTTCCAAGGCTCTATAATCTCTTGAAAAGTTGTTGCACTCTACCAATGATCTCCAAGAACTAGCCAATTGACAAATCTTGCTAAAACTTCCAACCCTAGGAAGTTCTCATGCAATCAGCCTGATTAGACTCACATGATATACCCTAAGTTGGCTTTGATACCAACTTGTCTAGTAGAGACTGTGATCAGTCCTACTCCAGATGAGAATTCAACAAGAAAAAAAAAACAAAGAATAGAAGAGGAAGAAGAGAGAGACAGAGAGAGAGAGAAGAGAGAAATCAAAGGGAAAAGAACTCAGAGAAGAGTCTGGGTTGACTTGCACATTCCCGCCCCACTCAACTATTTATATTAAAGATTTAAAACATAGCAAACTTACAATATTGCCCCTACTAACATAACTTATCAGCAACTAAAGAATAACAGAAATAACTAACTTACTGACACTACTAACATGCTAACAACTACATAAATGGTATGCTAACAGCAACATAAATAAAGATATTATTGCCCTACAACTCTACACGGATCACATCCCTCTTGTTCCAATTCCAGTCCCAGTTGTGTCTCAGTCGTTGTCTCCAATGCAGCTCCCTGTCGAACAACCACCTATCAGACAAGTGTATACGCATCAACAAGCACCGGCTCCTCCTCCAGTCACTTTACCATCGACAGATCCGACAGTTGTTTCTGCACCGGTTTCACCCCCTTTCTCTGACCTTGACCTTCCCATTGCTTTGTGGAAAGGTAAACGTAGTTGTACTCTTCATCTCATTTCCAATTATGTTTCAGTATCCCACCTTTCTGCCTCCCATCAGCAGTTTGTTTCTTTGTTATCTTCTGTTTCTGTTCCTAAGGTGGAAGAAGAACTCCACCTCCCCAAGGTGGCACCAAGCAATGGAAGAAGAACTCTTTGCCTTGGCTCATAATCATACATGGAATCTCACCACTCTTCCTCCTGGAAAACATGTTGTGGGTTATAAGTGGGTGTACACTGTCAATTATCTCCGAAATGATAATGTCAAGCGGTTGAAAGCTCGGTTGGTGGCGAAAGGGTATTCACAGCTATATGGACTACACAGAGACCTTCTCTCCTGTTGCTAAGATTAGTTCAGTCTGTGTTTTGATTTCATTAAATGCTATGTATGATTGGCCTCTATTTCAACTTGACATCAATAATGCCTTTTTACATAGTGACATTCTTGAGGAGGTTTACATGGAACAACCACCAAGATTTGTTGCTCAGGAAGAGGGTAAGGTGTGCAGACTCAAAAAGGCTATTTGTGGACTTAAACAGTCTCCACGTGCACGGTTTGGTAGATTTAGTGAAGTGGTGAAAGAGCTTAGCATGAGACAGTGTCAGGTTGATCATTCAATACTTAACTGTGATTCGTCTGCTGAGAAGATTTTGTTGGTGGTATATGTAGATGACACTGTCATCACAGGTAGTGACAAGTTGGGAATTGACAAGTTGAAGACATTTTTGCAAGATCACTTCCAAACAAAGGACCTTGGAAAGTTAAAATACTTCTTGGGGATAGAGGTAGCAAGGTCTAAGCATGGTATTAATCTGTGCCAACGGAAGTATGTTCTTGATTTGTTGGTTGAGACAGGTTTGTTGGGTGCCAAACCAGCTGAAACACCCATGGAACCGAATGTCAAGTTGAATAGTGATGCAGGTGAGGAGTTTGAGGACCCAAGAAGGTATCGGAGGCCGGTAGGAAAGTTGAATTATCTAACCATTACTCAACTAGATATATCTTTTGCAGTCAGTTCATGCAGAATCCTCGAGTTCCACATTGGGATGCAGTTTTAAGGATTGTCTGGTATTTGAAGGGAGCTCCAAGTCGTGGTTTGTTATATAAGGGTGGAAGAAATCTTGAGATAGAAGGATATACAGATGTTGATTGTGCTGGTTCAATATCTGACGAGAGGTCCACTACAGGGTACTATACCTTTCTTAGAGGCAATTTGGTGGCATGCAAAAGTAAGAAGCAGATTGTAGTAGCAAGGAGTAGTGCACAAGCTGAATATAGAGCCATGACACACACTACATGTGAACTAGTATGGTTGAAGAACCTTCTACAAGAGATGGATATACAATTGATCGACCTGTTCACTAAGGGGTTGAGTCAGGGAAGAGTGGATTACATTTGTGACAAGCTGGGACTATATGATATATACTCACCAGCTTGAGGGGGAGTGTTAGAGTTGACTATACAGGGGTAGTTTTGTCTTTTCATTATATTATTAGTGTGATGTAATGTCTATTATGTTTAAGTTTAAGTTATATGTCCCATACTTCATTAGGGGCATAAGAGTCTTTATGCACTTAATTAGAAACATATAAATACAATCTGGCGGACTAGAGAATTGACTTTTTCTCTAGATCGAACCAGTTTTCTCCTCCTTCTTCTCTCTCTTTCTTTTGCCTTTATTCTCTGATAATCTAGCGCTGAAACCAGTACAGATTTGTTCTGTAACAATTCATAATGGAGAGGAAGCCACAATAAAAAGCAAAAAGGAAGCCAAATAAAATAGGGGCATGGAGAAATGCAAAAATCCATTACCATGAAGAACACACCAACAGACATGAAAAAAAATGCAGCTAAACCATGGAACCCCATGCAACTTTCAAAAATAAGAAAATTGTTGTATATTATTATACAAAGAATCATAGTCAGAAAAGGAAGAAAATCTTACACCCTCATGGCCCGTGAATTATTAACACACACAAACCTTCCCCATAAGTCTTTGAATATAAATCTGCCTCTCCCTCCCTCTCTCTCAGCAGAAATTGATAGCTTACTGACTTTGTATGGAAAGGACTAGTTGATAGCTCACTAATTACTAAAAGGTAGCTCACTGACATTGTACAGGAACTCAGGAAGGACTATAGGAGTTTGGATAATTTGATAGTTATAGTATTGTAAGAGGATTCCATCAAATGGTAGTGTCATCAACCAGGTGGAATATTTTCATATAGACATGGTCCCTTCTGCCCCAAGGAGCAATGAAAATGAATTCCTATAGCTGTTGTGAAACCCAGGACCATCATGCATTGTTGAGAGCATTACAAAGATGCAACGGGAAATCCTATTTTACACTCAAGGCTCATAACCAGAGGAGATTCCTAGAGGTAAGGCACTTTCACTCCTCTAGGAATTCCATTTGCTAAGAACCCAAAGCCAACATGGTTTCAAGCAGAGGAAAATTCGAATGGTGATAGATTGTATGGGAAGCCTTTTAAAAAAAAAAAAAAGTAAAATAAAAGTTTCATTAAAATAAAAAGAATACATAAGAAAGGTGATAAGATATCACCCAAGAGATAACATGACTGCTTACTTAGAACCTCCACCAACTACAAGACTCAAAAATTAAAAAAAAATGGAAGGATAACATCTCTAGACTCGTAAAACTGGACAGCTTCACTACTGATACGACTGCGACACAAGCAACAGCAATCCTAGCAGAACCAGGGCCCTAATCTTCCCCTTCAAACACCTCCTCCTGACCATCATCATCTTCATCCCACCACCCACCTCCGTTTTCCTTTTTCTTTAAAGCTTCTCCTTTCTTCTTCCTCTCAAACTCTTTGAAGGCTTTCCTAGCAAATTCCTCGACACCCCAGCAAAACAGACCCAGGCTTTTACCAATCGCTACATCTTTTTTAGCCGCTTCCTCAATGGAGATACTTCCTGATTTCTCCACCTTCCCCTCAATGATTTTATCACATTCTCTTACAGTGGAATCAGAAATGTTCTCTAATGCTTCCTCCCGCTGTCAAGTCCCCAATTGCTTGTCCAGGTTAGAACCAACCCAGGAATCCTAGCCAGCATCATCTTCGACTGTCCTCTTTGTAAGATTGCTGCCCCTTCTCTTGTATACCTTGTATTTCTTGGTAGGTCCAGTCCCAACCAAACCACATTTCAGCCGGAAAAAAAATGGATGTGAATAGTATGAGAGTATCTTACTCCTGATGTTCCACGGGGTTTTTTGGAATTCACTGATTCAGCCACATCTAAAAATTTCTTAGGCTCCCCCCTCCTACCCAAATCCACGCCTATCTTTCTGATCACCACCTCCTCAAAGTAACAGTGGTCATCTACTGCACTCTCGGGTTGGGGCAGGGCACAATGGTTCTCGCCAACAGTTCCACTTCCTTCAACGCCAATAACCTGATCACCTCCTAAATCGGCATCAGTGGAGCCTCTTCTCTATTGTATTGGTAAAGCACTTTATCTTTTTTTATTTTTGTTATTAATTAATCACAAAATAATCTTTCATCCATTTTTTATCCTTTTGATAAACAGAAAAAGGAACCACCTATTATAACATTTTTGTATATACGAACAAGTACATGCACATTAGCCGACCCCATAAAGTTGGGACAAGTATATACAAGGCTTAGATGATGATCAACAAGTATATATGCATATGCATTGCTGCTGTCTGACAAAAATTATCTAGTGATGAATTCTGAAATCAATGGTATAAATTGTTATTGCCTTGTGGTCCTGATGATTTAGTATGCTTTGTTAGGTAGAATGCACTGTTATTTAGTGAACTTATTGGCATTCTGTAATTCTGATAAATGTTGGATGTTGGTCTAGCTAGGAAAATAACATAGGAATTTTATGGTTTCCATTTTCAACCTCCATTTCCCAGATGGGGGACTTGGCGCCCTGTCACCCAGATTAGCTTTTATGTCTTGATAACTATGCCCCCAAATGAGGCCTAAACCTTGTCCATGAGATTTCCTACTGTTATCTAGTAAACAAATAAATCAAACCTAAGAACAACATTACAAATCCTTACCAATTGCCAAAAAAATAAATAAATAAATGAAAATACCAAGACATCAGTATATGAAGAAGCTAGAATCAAGAAGATGTAGAAAGTAACATATCAATAAAAAAACGCAGAAAATTCACTCTGCAATGACCAATAACTGCACCATATAAACCTCAAATCACATGAAGCTAAACTCACCCGTTGCCTACTTTTGTTCACATTTCCTCCATCCTTATCAGGAGACTCCTCATTAACATTTGAAAACCGCTTATTCACACTTCTGGATTTTCTTGGAGGTGCCATGCTAACAATCTGAAACAGGCCAACTCTACAACACAAAAGTAGCAAATTAGTTTCCTCAAGAAAATCCTAAACTACATAAAGACCTAAAACTCCACAAACACACAGATTTTAATTGTGTGTCCTTGTTCTTTCTTCAAATAGTCACAATCTCATCACTTCCCAAACAAAAAGCAATAACATTAGTAAGGGAAAGAACAATGCCAAAGCAAGTTTCTGTAATGCCATTAGATTTTCTTAATGAATAAAAAAATAGCCCGTAAGTCAAAATAGTCCCATGGCATCAGCCAAACAATGCTCCAGAAATGCCATTTTCACAAAATTTATGTGGGGACAGGTCAAAGGTCGGCTTTTTTTTTGTGAAGAAGCCTAAACTCTAAAGTCTAAACACCCATAAATCTTCCACAATAGAACTTGTTTTGGGGGCCAAATAACCCCGTGTTCTTTCCATTCTTTATGCATGGGATAGATTTAATACAAAGAAGCCTTACCAGGTTTCCAAAATAAGTCTTTCATTATTTTCAAATTAAAATTAAAAATGAAAGTCCAGATGGCTGCTATTTCTTGGGGAAAAACACTCTGGTAAGGATGGGGCATAGTACAACCTGTGGATTCATGAAGTAAACACCCGATAAAGCCAGAAGGTCTATTCAAATAATGATCAATATCTGCCCCACAATTACTCCATGTGCAGTAACAGGTGGGATTATCTAGCAACTCCCCTAAATGATCCAATTATGAGCATAGAAAGATGAATTGTGATGAGCATTGATGATAGAATTGAAGGTAGAGGAGGAATATAATGTTTGTATTAAGACAATGCACTAATGCTTGGTAAAAAAAAAAAATGGGGAATGTACAAAATCAAATCTGAGTTCCTAAAATATCCTCTAAAGTTTACAAAAGCATTTTATATATGGGATATAGTGGTTTTACATAATACAGAATGCAATGATTTTTCTATAACTAAATAAATAACTCTACTGCAAGTTAACTTAAGCCCGGCTTATAGATTATCCCCAAAAAAGGAATTCACAGCCCATCTTTGCCCAGAAACACTTTATGCTACTGCTCTTACAGAAGAAGAACGTATATTTGAAGTAAATAGTATCATAAGTTAACAGTTTGGAGAAGGGGAGGATTAAACAACTTGCAAACCAAGTAGATTCAATCATCCCTATGGCAAGCCAATCTAGCCAGTATTAATAAAGACAAAATTAACCACGAAATATATTGCCCGCCACTAGGAATCAAAATCTTAAATTCAAATTTACATAAACCCTAAAAGTGGAAGTACAGTACAGTGGACTGAATTTAACAGAACGACTCAAAATGGAAAAACGAAACGCCAAATGCACAATGAACTCAAAGAAAAAAAAATAGTTGTCTTTCTAATTACAATACTTCAACGTTAAACACAAAACACAACTCACGCTCCGCTAAAGTTTGGAAAAAAATAATAAAAAATAGGTGTCGTTCTAATTCAAACTCAATGGACTCGAATAATCCTGTGAGAAAGAAAGACGATGAGGAAAGTGGGATATCAATAATGATGTAAATTGAAGAAAATTGCAAGGATAGACTGAAGTAATATCTTCCACTTAAATAAACAACAGAATAAGACGATAAAGTCCCCATTACCTCTAATGACTAATCAATCCATTGGAGCAACATCGGTGCTGATTATCTTACCGATTACAGGCTCTCTGTGCACCTATCGTGTGGAGCAATCACCATGGAGAGAGAGAGAGAGAGAGAGAGAGAGAGAGAGAGAGAGAGATTCGAATTTGGGTTGGGGCATTACCGCCCGCGAAACTTGAATATTAGGCAGAGGAGGCCTTTCTAGTTTCTACGATCAACTGTTTTTCTTTCCTTTCTGCGGGCGCAGTCCTATCAATATGCAAAGAAACAAAATTGTTCCAATCGGACGATGGGTGATGAATGGTAATGGGGACAGCGGATTAGCTGTTTTACTGACTGTGTGAGATCAATCATTTTGTGTGCCATATTTTGCAGATGTGAAACAAAATGGTTGGTGCAACACAGCCAATAAAACAGCTATCGAGTTCGATTCAAATTAGAGACTTGAACTTGAGTTCGAGCTCGGCTATATACCTTTGATTGCAGGTCTCTCAAGCAATCAAGGTTCCGAGCCGAGGTGTCAAACCGAGGTCTTCCTTAGTTGTTGAAGTGTTAAGTTGAGGTTTTCCTAGCATACGAGATGTCGAGCTAAGGTCTTCCTTAGTTGACAAGGTGTCGAGCTGAGGTCTCCCTCAGTTGTTGAGGTGTTGAGCCGAGATCTCCCTTGGTGACCGAGGTGTCGAGCCGAGATCTCCCTCAATGGTCGAGGGTGTCGTTTAATTTGAGCTCGATTCAAATTAGAGACTTGAACTTGAAATCAGAAGTTCGAGCTCGGCTTGGCTCGAATTCAACTACCTTTGATTGCAGGTCTCCTAGCAGCCAAGATGTTGAGCTAAGGTCTCCCTCAATTGGAGAGAGAGTTGGTAGGATGGGGAGAGTGGCATTATTGTAATTTGAAAAATAAATAAAACAAAAGAGAGAGAGTTGCATTCTTGTAATTTCTATAAAAAAGGCAAAAAATATTGTTAGATTCCATTTTCCCCATCCTTAGGCCTTCTTACATACACATTTCAGCTTAATATATTTATATAGATTTTTTGTGCTTAGTAAGAGAAAGAGGAAAAGGGAAAGCATAAGCTTAAAGGGTTGCAACTTGTAAGGCCTAACAACCGCCTAAGCCTTAAAGATGAAAGAAAAAAATTAATTAAATTTTATAAATAATAAAAATAACATGTAATATACCAAATTAGAATGATGAAAGGTACCAATACCCATTAAATATAAGTTTATAAGTAATAGGCTTTAACTTTTAAATATCAAATAAAACAATAATTAATAATCTAACAATTATAAACATTTTATATTTCATGTTTCCAAATGCAATCTTATGAAATTATTCATATTAAGAATGAAACATTTGATTTATATAAAAGAAACAACATTTAGTTGATTTGTTCTATGCAAAACAAAAACAAAAAAATATAAAAAAAAAAAAGAAAAAAACATAAGTCCAATAGGGAAAAATGATAAAAAACAAACTTGAGATGTTATATCAAAATGATAATAAGAAAATCTCACTTGATTTATCGAGGACAAACTAATAACTTGATTTATAGGGCTGACAATGGACCGGTTTTGGATTGGCTATCAAATCAGATTTGAATGGTACGTTATAATTATTGGATTGGGCCAATCCGAAATAAATTGGTCTATATTCTTATTGGTCTAAATCAGACTTCAACCAAATTCCCAATAATCCGGTCATGAGGCCAAAACCCTTGTCTAATTTGAAACCAATCAAAATTGAAGTTGGCATAAAAGCACTTTTACGAAAACACTTTTACAAAAGCACTTTTACAAAAATAATTTTATGAAAGTAAAGTACTTTTACAAAAGCACTTTTTACAAAAGTACTTTATAAAATCACTTTTACAAAAGCAATTTTATGAAAGCACTCTTACAAAAGCATGTTTATAAAAATAATTTTATGAAAAGTACTTCTATGAGAGTAAAGTACTTTTAAGAAAACAATTTTATGAAAGCACTTTTATAAAAGTAATTTTATGAAAAATACTTTTATGAAAGTAAAGTACTTTTACAATAGCACTTCTGTGAAAGCACTTTTATAAAATTACTTTTATGAAAGTACTTTCACAAAAGCATTTTCATGAAAGCATTTTAATGAAAGCACTTTTACAAAAGTAATTTTATGAAAAGTACTTTTGTGAAAGTAAAGTGCTTTTGCAAAAGCACTTTTATGAAAGTATTTTTACAAAAGCATTTTCACGTAAGTACTTTTATGAAAGCGCTTTTATAAAAGTACTTTTACATAAGTACTTTTATTCATTCACTTTGGATTGGATTGGACCCGATCCATTTGCATTTTAATTTGATTGGAGGAGGTGTTGTGGTTTTTTTATATACTAGTAATTATTAAGCATGTGTGAATTTTTTTGTTTTCATATAATTATTTAAATTTTAAATATATCATAGTTAAGATAGAAATTGAAAATTAATAAAAGTAACAATATGATTAAAAATAAACTTAAATAATTGTACCAAATGTGCACTTGTAGAAATTTTGAATTACAATAACAATTATTTATTATTATTGTTGTTGTTGTTGTTATCATTACTACTACTAATGTTGTTGTTGATGATGTTGTTGCTACTGCTACTATTACTAATGTTTGTATTCCATTTTTGTTCTAAATAAAAATAAGATTTATTTCAACAAGTATTTTTATTCAATATGATGAATATATAACATTAGAAATGTTTCGAAATGTCTTTGACAAAATTTTGTACTCTTTTTTATTTTTTGTGTTCTATGTTTTTTTAAATATTTATTATTTAATTATGACATCATTAATTTATTTGAAAAGTTGGATCGACCCACCATTTAGATAACAAAATAGCTTTGCTTTCGGATCAATTCAGTTTTAATATATATATTTCATCAACATTATACAAATAATTTTTACTTATCACACTTAATTTTTGTGTTCTATCTCATCAGTACTTTTAACATATTGTTGACTTGGTTGATTGAACCATTCAAACCATCACTCGGCATTGATTTTGGGCTTGGTTTTGTTGAAACTCCCCCTTCCAGTTAAAAGTCATATAACCCAGGCGGTTCAACTATTGACCCATTCGACCTAGTAAGTAGGTCGTGGGTTACGCACTTAATTATGTGCAAATTTTTGGAAGCCATAACTTTGCATTTTGATGTTTGATTGGGGTTATCTTTTTTTTTAGTAACTTTTCAAGATCTATACGTCCTAAGGGCCTTAAGCACCTTGCCTTGCTATTTTTTGCGGAAAACCCCTATTTTGGCCCCAAATTACAATTTTTAATATTTGTTATAAATAAAAATTTAAAAACTTAATTAAAAAACATAAATAAATTTAACATAATATATATGTTATATGTAAAACATAATTATACTATTTATTGATAAAATATGTATTTTTACATGCACACATATAGTGTTAACATAGAGCGGTTTGACTCGTTTGACCCTGACAGTTAAACCGGTGACCTATGACCCGAAGGCAAAAATGGGTCAGCCTCTGGGTCGGTTTTTAAAACATTGTTTATTATACTTATTATTGTTTAATATGTCAAATATTTGATGTTAAAAACGTTTCCATTTTTTTAATTTTTATATTTTTTTGCATTTATATACTTTTGAATTTTATTATTTAATTGTGGCAACATGGATTGGCTCATTTAACCCAAATGAATTACTTTCTTACCATCACCTAGATGAAAACACTATTTTTTTTTTCCAGGTAGATCTTAAAAGTATAAGTTTTTATGTTATTGATACTATTAATTTATTATGTATGGATTTAATTATAGAATTTAATGATGAGAAGAAACAAAAAAGTCGTCAATATATGATTCAATGAAGGTGAATGCTAATTAATACCTTAAATGTTGGATTTAATATGGGAGAATTGAATGCATTGAATATCTTAAAATTACCTATTTTCAACTCATTTAATATCAATAACCAATTACCCTATTTGCCCTCATTTTTTATCAATAGATTTGAATATAGAGGAGTAAATTTTGTCCTAAAAAATTACAAAAATATTCTTGAGGCTATTGGTACCTTTAAAGTAGTATAGGTTTTCTAGATTTCTCATGTTATTTTGGTGTTTGATCCAATTTGGATTGAACTGAATCAAATCCAGTCCATTTGCATTCTATTTGGACTGGATTGGACTTGGTTTGTATAGATTTGGTCCAGCCCATTTATTAATGGACCAATGTTGGATTGGACCAGATTGGACCAAATCCAGTTCAATTGACAACCCTACTTGATTAGCCCTTTTTTTGCATCAAACTCTCTTAAAATATTAAGAGAAACTAACGGAACTTAATTTGCCCTATTGGTTTTTCATTTTGACTCTTTTTATTTGGCCTAGAATTATTGAAGTGCTTCTTCCATGTATTTTAAAGTTTGGACTATAAAAAATGCATAAAAATATATATCTTTTTTTTTTTTGCATTAAACCATTAAATAATGTTGATACTTGAGGCTTACACCTTTTTATTCCTCATGCTTTGGTGTTTGAGGCTTATATCTCATTTTGACAAAAGGCTTAAGCCTTAAACCAAAGTCATGAGGCTTGAACCTTTTAAAATAATGTTTCAAATACAAGTCAACTATGCAACGTACAGGGCTGATATGGACCAAAAGGTTAAACACATGGCTATGCTAAATGAGTGGGACCTCTAATTTTTTTCGTTGACATTACACATTATGAGGGGGGATTAAGGGATGGGGTTGTGGAGACTTGGGAAAGCAGGGTACAACCCAACCCAGCCTAACTTGCAAATTTTTAAGGCTTGGGCCTCAATACGATACTTCAAAGTCTGCTCCATATATTACAAATATTTTTAAAGTTATCATTTGACTATTTATTACATATGTATATATACATATACATGTATATACATATTTTATTTTATATTACATGATATATACATTATAAACTTATACAAATATATCTTATATTTATATAATTTTATACATATTATATGTATCATACAATACACATTATTAAATATATTATATTTAGTGACATAGGCACTAACCACTAAATCCAACCTGGGCCTAGGCTATAGCCCTTGTGATAGGTGCTAAGTCCGGCCTGGTCCGGTCCATGATCACCCCTACTTACTGGGTGTGTAAATGGATCAAATTCAAATTGGATCAGGCAATATCCAAATTTGAATCTGATTAAAAAAGTCGATATCCGACAGATATTGG